TATATAATACTGTAGGTCCGTGGTAACTTCTTTACCTTACACTTTCTTTTTTGCAAAAGCAACGAATTTTCTTTCAAACAATCTTCGCAAATTTCCAATATATCGATAAATATATCGTGCCTTTGCATCCGTACGTCAACGAGGATATTTCGAATGAAAAACGCGAACGAAATTGTCGGTGCTCAATATTCGCAGTTTTATTTCTGACACATCCGTCACAGAGAGATTAAAGATACTAGATTTAGAATACAAACTGAACGGACAACGGGTGGGGAAGAAAAACGAAATGAAAGATACATGAAAAAAATATACAATGCAAGGAGAGAGGCAAGCTTTTTCGCAGAAAAAAAAAGACAAGAAATTATTGAAATCCCAAAATCTGCGGGCAAAAGATCCAGAAAATTTCAATGAAAAATGACGGATTGGCCATTTCGATCACTCTGTTGGTTTTATTGTTAAATTCTCCGTCGACGTTAACATATTCCTTCTTTTTTATATATATATTTTATAATCCCTATCGAAAGGATTAATAACGCGAAACAGCTCGGAACGGTCCAATCAGATCGACATAATCGCTTCGGAATCAGCGTGGCAATTTGCTCTACCAACGTAGAAGACTAACTAACAGTGGTGAGCGCGGATCGAATTAATCTCGTTCACAATGCCATTTGACTGATTTAATTCCGTAACAAGGCGTTTCTCGCTGGGTTAAACGAATCGTGTTGTAACAATCTCAATTCTGCCACCGTCGTCGTCGTCGTCGTCGTCGTTGTCGCGAAGACTTTCTAGGACGAAAAAGAGGAACGAAATCTCGAATCGATTGATTTGAAATAAACGAGACCTTTCGTAGTTCAACCGCATGCATTCGACTTTCCATTAAGTATATTGGATTTTCGACCGTTGCCGACAAATCTTTCGAGACAATCCGAATAATGGTATAAAGTAGGTCGTGGTATTGTTGCAAAATATTAATGGTATAAGTTCTGCTGGATACTGGAGGAATAACAGGGATAGCTCGGAGAAATCCCGGCGACAAAGGCACAAGGTGTCTATCAGAATTTTCTACGAAACAAGGAATATATTTGTCAATTTTATTTCATTCGAAAAGTGGAAAGGAATTTTATAGTTAATTACACAACACATGTCGTATGTCTCATGTATTGTATTTCGAAAATATTAGTTGCTATATTATTACGTTATTGACTTTTTACATGAAATATCACTTACCTTTAAAGTTGCATGTTTCAATGTTTTCTTTATGTGAACAAATAAGCTCAGATTTATCATGTTTATCTTGTGTTGAAATGGAACTAACATAAATACAACCAGTTTGTTTCTATCTTTCATCAAATTGAAAACCAAACAGCGTGCTAGCTTCGTCACGTGTAATAATATGTATTTATACGTAGAATATGCTAGCTTTGTCTCGCGAAAAAAATCTGAATCACCGTATATAGTTGAGCTCTATCATAGGTGATAATAAAACTAGAAATCGAGCAATCGAGATGGAGCGGTGATTCTTGAAATGAAATTTCGAAATATTGAAATGAAAGTATTTCGTAAAATTTTGAAGACAATTGTGCAAAACACAATGTTCATACGAGTCATTTCACGAGTCGTCAGATGATAATTATCACATAAAATGAACGATTTATCATCTTTAGCTGAGTTACGAAGTTACGTTCGATAAAACGTTCAACATTGATTAATGAAAATAGGTCGCTAAGCGACGTTAACCGTAACGTAGAATATTTGATAAAAAGCCTTGTTCTGATAGTGCACTCATAATTGAGGCCATTTATAATTTTTTAAATTCGAAGAATAATTTTCAGCCGAAGTCGAGAGTTATTTGTACGTGCATGCTCGAGAGAAGTCTAAAGTTCGTGCTGCGAATTTTTTAACTAATCGAAAAGAGGGAAATAGAAAAATATTTTTTACATTTCAAACACTCAGATGATTAAGTACGTAATTAATGTATAAATGTGATGTAGATGTATAGGATACAATTTTTGAAAAATTTTGCTACATGAAGAAACGTAAATTACATTGTGATTTCATTGAAAGAATGAGATGATGAAAACTCTAAATGAGTATTAAATAATTCGTAAAACACTGAAACATTCAGAAAATGGAGAACATTATTAGACGGAGGAAATAAAATTGGAAAAATATTTCTGACGCCAAATTTCCAAAGCGAATTTCAGACTAAAATATTTCACGATCGACAATCTTCTAGCAAATTCCATTATAATTATACATTTACTTGCACATACTACGTACTACAGAATCTAAAATCAACCAAATTATTATCCACGATAATCACATAGGTAAAATCACTGTATTTACACGCAATGTTTCGCGTTAAATATTAGCATAACCACTAGAAGAGTCACCAAGGGGATAAAAATTGCAGGGAGATGAATCGCACGATGCAAAATGGTGGGCCGTTAGTAGAACTCGTTTTAGCGTGCGCTAATTGGTATTTCGTGATGTACACGCCACTTGAACGAGCTACAGCTAACGAGTAGGGGAGTTTAGACCGGCTATTATCGCATTTAATTTTACAATCGGGCGAATCCCACAACACACAAAGATCACATGGTTGTACTCCGCGCCGCCATTCTCACTTATCTAGAGCTCGAGCGACAGCTGAAACTAGAACCGATTACCGTCAAGTGAACCGAGGGAAATAACCATTTACCCTCTCACCTTGTCGGCGGTGATAAACCGGTGATTCGCAAAACGATAGAACGACTAATCGAATTTCAGTTATGTTATCGTCTTCCGTCTATGAATGCTGTTCTAACTTGATTGCTTTTGGTATAGTTATTATCTTCATTCGAGAATGGCTCGCTCACGGCAACGAAATTTTTGTTCCCAATGTGTTCTGCAAATTCCTCAGTCAGTCTGATTGCTTGAATCAGTAAATTGTTCACGATTATTTCTTATTTGCGATTTATTCAACAAACTTGTCGAGAATATCGGATTAA